TAGACCCACAAGTGAAGAGAAACTTAGGCACAGAAACAACTTGCCCAGGATTTTTTCCATTGGTACATTGGACTGACACAACATCTTGGGCAACCTCACCACTTGTGGCAGTGCGGGTGACAGTGTTGGCTGGGAGGAGACCGCAAGTGTTATTGTTGCAGCCTGGCTTGGGGCCATCGAAACAACTTCCACAAGACTTGGACCTAGCCAAGGAGCATTGTGCAGAGTTGCAACGAGCAGGCATGTAGGAAGATGAGACATAACCCCGATCACAATCAACCCAGAGAAATTCACCACCAAGATCAAGGGTCAACTTTACAGGCACTAAAGGGGTTCTTTGCTTGATCTGGGTCACGTATTGGTTAGTTGAAGCGTCTTTTGAGACCGGAAGAACCAATGCTTTAGGCCTAAAGGAAGCTTGAAGGGATGGAGAGGCGAAGAGGAAGAAGAGCAATGCTGTAAATAGAAGGAATCTACTAGAGGCAGCCATTGTATTTGGGCAGAGATACTCACAGTTTAGATGGTGTGGAGAGCTAGTGAAAGCAGAGGTGCATTTATAGCTGCAGCCAATGTCATTGATGGCAACTCGGGAAATCAAAGTAGTTCTATGAAAGGTGGCGATTTGCAAAATTTGACCATTGACTCTGTGCTTTTATCAAATGTTCTAAGAATATTCGAACCCGGATTTCAGTGTTTTCATATGCAACAATCCGCGTTGCGCATTAAAGATATTCAACTTCAAATTAATCTCTAATTGCAAATAAATGAAGCAAAACATAGAAAAAGATAAGGACTGACCATTGATGGTCAAATATTCAAAAATCCATAGATTTCTCATTAAACCAAGGGCAAACATCTATACAAGATAAAACTTTGAAAATGAGAAAGTATTCTTCAGAAAATTTAATATAAGAAAGAAAGCCGCCACTCTGTTTATGGGTAATTGAGCATTTTGAAGGTTTTTCTTGTTCTCTTTTTTTTTTAATTTCATTTTCTCCTCCTTTAAGAATCTGTCAATAGATATAATTTTGACAATTCAAGATGGATACAAGCCAATTACAACTGTAATTAATGATTTCCTAATTGCTGCTTATTCTTTTCAATGGGTAGTTATGAAGTAGTAGACAAAATAATTTTGGAATGGATGTTATCTTTCTAAATAAGAGCAAATGTTCTTGAGTCAAATTAATGAAAATACGTGTTTGTTAAGAAACAAAAGTGTCAATAATACATCACATTATCCAAATCTATGTTATTCAATATAAATCTACGCAGTTAAATGTCAAATTGAGTTTGACCAAGAGGCTTGGCCTAAATGGCCATCTAACCCACTAATAGAGGGTGGGGAGGCTTGCTGCAAGCTTAATTCCAGTCCAGGTCCTCTTAGCAAAAAATTTTACTTTTTCTTTTTTAAATGAAAAATTAACTTGGAGTGTCAAATTCATTAAGAAAAAAAAAAGGTTTAATGGGTTCTAATGTACTGATCAAATCACTGATTTTAATTCGAAAGTGGACAATTTCACATAATTTACTATATACTTTATACCAAAACAAAAGGAAAAGTGCTGCTGACAGCATAATCAGATTCTGGACCAATGTTTCACTTTATTTTATAAACTAATACATTAAATTATAAATATTCCTCGTGTTAAAACTACACTTTCGAAGCAACTTGGATAAGGTTAACACACTTTCGAAGCTGCTTTGGTGTTATTACTAAACACAGTGGTACTAGTACTATGAGAAAAATGTAAGGAAAGAAGAACAAATTCTTAATAATTTAGATCTTTTTATGCTTTTGCTTGCATGCTTTTAATTTGCTAAACAAATTTAGTATGCTCCACCACTCATCCATTAACGATATATACATATGCTAAGTAGAAAAGTTCAAAGATGTTGCCCAAATAGAGAATTAGTGTTTTTTTTTATAATTAATAATTATCTTTCTTTATTTTAATCTTGACATGCCAAAAAAAAAGAAGAAATTGTTTGTTCATTTTTAATAGTATGGTAGTAATAATTTAAAGAGAGGACAAGTACACAAGTTTGGTTGGTGCACCCTGGCCTAGGGAAACAAATTTAGGGCTTCTTCCATAACAATTCTCTCTTTGCCTTCTCATCATGCTTGAGGGGCACAATAACCATGCATTAATTAGTTATTGTTATTTTTTTAAAACAAAATATGAGAAAGTTAAAAATTAAATATAAGTGCAGTTATACTATAATATAATATAATAGGATGATAGTGTATAAATTTTTAATGAATAAAAAATTAATTTCAAACATTATATATAATTTATGTTTGATATAGAAAGATTTGAATTAAAAGATTAATGTTTCAGTGTTAAAAAAAAATTAAATTGAAGTCTAACTATTAACTAAAAGAGGCCAAAAAATTCCTTTTAACAAAAATTAAATGTAAGATTTTTTTATAAAAAAATTAATGATTTAAATTTCTATAATTTTTTTTTCTATTAATAGCTTAGAAAGAAACTCGGTTGACAAAATGATTAATATTAATTTGTTTTGATTAACGGGGGAAAAAATCCCAATTTAAGGAACTAAAAGATCACATGTAATTATGCTTAAAAAATTGTAGAGAATTATGTAAGTAATGAAGTTTAGAGTTAAAATAGCTGACAAGTAGATTGTATCAATCTACAAATTTGAGAAAAAGGGGGCCAAAGCATAATTTCACCTCTCTTAAAGCTGTAAAAACACTATATAAATGAGGATTTTCAATGACTGCAACCCTTTTAAATAATTAATATTAATACCTGTTATTAAAGTATTTAATTATCAACTTTAATTAATTTCTAAAAAATTACTACACACCTTTTTCGGTTATTTAATTAATCAAAAAAAATTTGAATTATTATGTCGTGGTAGTATTGATATTATTTTTCAAGAGGGCTGCTTGGTTTTTCTATTGGATATCTCTTTCAACCCTTTTTTATTTTTGTCTTCTCCACCGTGTGTTTTTTCCTTCTATTTGGGCTACAATAGATTGGGCCTGAACTGATTTAGAACCCACATATGCTACGCCCAACACCCAAAACTCACGAGTAAGAAAACAAACATTCACAGATGCAGCAATTCCCTTCGTACCATGTTGCAGCAAACTAAAAACCACCCAGAGGAAAGATAAAAAATAGAGGCTTTAGCTCTCAATAACACATAATCTAGTAATGTGAAGCTAGAATCTTTCCAATTCCTTTAGATTGGACACAAAAATAAATAAATACACACAGCGCTGTCCAGATAATCAGTCTTTCGTAAATAAATGGAACATAATGTAATGCAACTTGAAGTTTAAATAGCAAGCGCGAGACCTTTGCCAATCCATTTTACACAAATTTTAGTCTTCGAAATCGACAAGCACTTTAATCCTTCGCTCAATCTTAAATTATTGCTAATGAGAGTGAAAAGCTGGACCCTCTAGCTTTAAGCAGTGGATGTAAAGTTGAAGTTGGAACATGTTG